AGGAATGCACTCAAAAAGCATATAATATTTTTTTACAAAAAAATTAGTTACCGGGCGAAACCGGGTTTTTCAGGCAGTGAAATGAATAGAAATTGGGGAAAAATAATTAAAACAGCTGAATTTTTTTAGTTAAAACATATTTATCTTTTTTCTGCATTTTTACCGCAAAAAAGCAATTCGAAATAAAATCGGATTATCTTGCTTCCTGATTCTTGAACAATTTCTTTTTGTTCACTTACTTCTTCCTGCCTGTTATATAGCTGATGCAATTGCGCATGGCCTGTTGATAAACTTGCAAAATCTGCAATAAGAACGTTAGTTTTACCAGCCAAAGCAAATGATTTGAGATGTAAAACCTGGAATAAACTTTATGAGGATTAATATTCATAATTCCTGTAAATTAACAATCAAGAGATCCACCTTAATCCCATCAGCTGTAAAACATGCAGGAAGAAGAGTTAGTGAACAAAAACAAATTGTTATGGAAGCAAAATAATTTTACTTCGAATTGCTTTTATTGCGGTAAAAATGCAGAAAAGAAATATTAAAGATGTTTTAAATGAAATGAAAAAAAAATAGATTTTTCATCCCCTTTAAAAAGAGGTGGGTTTTTTCAGAAATCGTAAGATCTTGGAAACAGTTCAACTTTAAGGGCCCAAAAAATTATCTTATCATAAAACAAGCTATGTTTCCTCCAAATTTCAAACACCTACGACTTTTTTTCGCAAAAATAAGAATTAAAAACGAAAAAAACAGTTTTTCCGGTTTTTCTAGGAAAATTGGAGGTTATGTGAAAATAGTGCAGATACAAAAGTTGCTCATTATTTTAATCTCTATAACTTTTACATTAAACATTTTCGTCTAAAATTAATTGTTTTGCCACAATTTGCAAAACACCACTTTCCACCCCTTTCAACCCCCGGGATTTCACCCGCGGAAAAATTCAGCTGTTTTAATTATTTTTTCCCTTTTTCGATTCATTTCACCTGCCTAAAAAACCCGGTTTCGCCCGGTAACTAATTTTTTTTTAAATAAATTATTTTAGAGCTATTTAGCCTGGACCAGAAACAAAATGGCTTACGCTTTGGTCGTTCCTCTGTCAAGAATGGTGTTGAGAGGATGAACACCGAGACCACCTTATTTCTTCAAACAATTTTTGCTTGTGGTGTCAATTAAAGTTCACGTCGACAAAATCTCAGTAAAAATCTGAGCTTAGGTGAATATACTTCATTTGGAAGAATGTAAGACACTGCAATATATATAAGAGATACTTTTTTATTTGAAGACACTGTAAAAAACGTTTGAAAAAGATGTCACATGATGTGACTCAAGGAGGCCCTCAGACAATTTTTGGATTTCCTAAAATTTTAACAGAAAATCCAAAGAATTTTAAGAATGTTTAGAAAAGCAAAGATGGTGCTTCCAGTGACTCCCAAAAAAGTATCCAAGAAGATACTTTGAACGTTCACGTAAGGTAGCTTAAAAAAATGCGATTCTGATCAAATCCAAAAATGTAAGGAAGTTTCCTAGAAATTTCAGGATTATAGAAACATTTCTGTAATTTCGTAAAAATATTAGAAATGCTTTAAATTCCTTGTTGTAAGGGGTACTGTGTGACAAAATGCCTCCCTGGTGCACCTTCCTTGTTATGACTCTGTAACGTTATTCTCTCACCATTTGATATTCTTAATTTAAATTTCATTTTAATAACCCTCGATTTGTGCACTTATTTAAATTCTTGCTCAAATGTATAGGTATTTTAAAGTCACTAGATATAGAAAGTACCGCAATCGTCCGCCATCTTTGGGCAAATTTGCTGCCAACTTAAAAAAATTGACAAATAAAATCTGAATAGCTGTAATTTTTTTATAACCTAACTACATAGTACGGTCATGTTTTATAAAAATATATACAGATATCTCCAAACAGGTGGAACAATCCCTAACATTAAAGTTACTAGAATCTGGTAACTTCCGTCATTTTTGGGCAAAAATCATGCGTTCCCTCTCTAACACACGAGCCCAATCGATTGCGGTACTTTCTATATTTAGTGACTTTAAGGTATTTGATTGTCTAACGCCATCTAGGAATTTACACCACCAGTTACCATATAAATTATTCTTGTAGTAGATTTCTTATTGCAATAGTTCTTTGTTTTGCAGGTCGAGGTGTGTAGCATTTTTCTTAATATATTTTTTAGGGCTTTATCTTCCTCACATCTTCCCTCAACCTGCAAACTTTAGTTATAATTATCTCTTAAGTCCTCGTCGTTCTTTCTTTTGGATCAATTTATGTACGCATTTACACTTTTACACAACCTAAATTCTTTCTGCGTGTTTGTGATGTTCATAAATGTGGAAAAAGCGTTAGAGCAAATGCACAGTTTTGATTATAGTCCGAGAGCTAGTGACAAAAATTTAGAGAAGGTGTTTTTACCATGCTGAAATAATAAGAAAAAACAATATTATTATTACCTATAGGGGCGTGAGGAATGGTGCACAGCCTATTAGATTTGCAAAAAAATATGCCTAAAATATCTCTTGGGCATGTTAAAATCTTTTTATCGAGTAGCTTTAGTAGTTGTATAATACATAAATAACACTCCCAGACTAATTTTTGAGTTTCAAGTGCGAGAGAGATAGTTTATCCATACCTGCCGGCAGCTGACGAGGCCCCTGGCTCCTTGGCCTCTCATTGGTCGCCGTAAGACCAGGTGACCATTGCTTACCATGAAGTTCGCACTCAACGCATACACAGCAGTTATGTCGCGTTTACATGAGGTCAGTCAGTAGGTCAATAACTGGACTCCATTAACTGACTCCGTGCAAACACTAGTGGAGGCCAGCTACGATCTAGTCCGGTCCAAAAATGTTGCGCCAGTCCACTGGCTTCAAGAGTATCTAGTGAGCCAGTATCAGGCGCCCCTCACCACTCAAAGGAGGACTGGCGCCACCCGACTGCGTCATGTCTTTGAATATAAAACGCCCGACAAGACTGTACCTGCCAATCTACTTGGGTTTAACATTAGTTTAGTGCACTGCTGTGCAACAATGGTATCCCAGAAGTGCGGTACAGCTATGAGTATGGAATTCGTCGAATAGTATCAAGGCAAAAAGTGTATGCAGCCAATCCAACTGAACAACTGAGATGATGCACCGCCTGAAGTCTTTTCAACATCCATTTTCAGGGATAAAATCGTGACATAATTGGTAAAACACTGTAGGTATGGGCCGATTGAACATTCTGACTGGTCCCAATGAACTGGCTTCGTGTAAACGTCGGAGGCGTATTTAGACGTATCCAGTAGCTGGCCTGCCAATTCTTGGCTGGCAAAGCCCTGGACCCAGGTCGTTTACACGAGTCCAGCCAATCGTGGGTTTTGATTGCTGCATTATCACTTAAAAAATTAATTCGAGAAAAATTCGAAAAAGAAAATTGTAAAAAAGTGTATGTTACTAAAAGAAGGGCTAAGAAAGAAGAATTATTTTAACTATATACATCGATATTTGGTCCATTTATACGAGGCATGTTTTTAGCGTAACACAACGAAGTTGGGATAAAGCTTTGTGCTCTATTTTCCGTTGTCTGTCCGTTTGTCTGTCTGTTCCACCGAGATCTCGGCCCCCGGGACCACCTAGAGACTTGGGGTTTTCGCTAATTGATTGATTAATTCACATCAGGGGGTTGTAAAAAAACCATTTTTCGTCGACCTCTCGATAACAACATAAATTACACCTTAGTTACAGGTGTAACAATGAAGCTCATTAATGGTTAGAAACCATTATACGTTAGCAACCATTAATCGTTAGCAACCACTTATATATAACCATTATGCATTAGCAACCATTAATCGTTGGCAACAACTTATACATATCAACTATTTTATTAAAGGGAATGACATTTATATAACAATTCACTTTCGGCATCAGCTGAGAACTTCCATCCACCTAACCATTTTAATCTCGCTTTTGTAGTGAGGTCAGTAGCCAGTATGGTCGCCAACGATCTCAGCAAAGCATATCCTGATGTGTAGCTTCTCGGATAAGGTATTGTTAAGGTAAGTTACTTATTTATCTTCAACATTGAGTACGTCGACCACAGGGATGAACATTTCCATATCTTTCACTGTTAATACACGTACCTACTTTAGTACAGTTGCAAAAGAATTAATTACATTCTAATTTCACATACCTTTTCAAGGTAAAATGTCAACATGACATTTTCGAAAATATCTCCTTTCAAATTCATTGTATTCCATCAATTGCCGAACTGATCGAAACCGTTTCAATAAGTTTCTTTTGATTTGAGCGGATATACTGTTAAAATCGCCTCCGCAGCAGAGCAAGCAACATAATCTTTCACTGAGATTACGAGGACTGACGGTACAGCATAAACAACACATTACTATAGCAACGACAATAGCTGTAATTTAGAAAAATCGTCGGAGCTTATAATTCCGTTTGTAATTTCTTATATTTTAAAATTACCTACCCCAGTGAAATCGACGAAAAAACGTTGTATGCAATTCATGTATAAATCGGCGATTATTGGTTCGTTCGAATTTAGTCCACTCGCTGCGCTCGTGGACTAAACATCTCACTCACCAATAAAACGCCTCATTTATACACTCATTGCATAAATAACTATTAAATCGTCTGGCAATTGACATGTATTTTTAAAATTGGTTATTGAATATGCCACAAAATTGTAGGATGCCTAAGGTATATTTTTTGAGTATATTAATTAAATAAATTCAGGGGGTCAGGGTATATGTACTTTATGTTATTTATCTATTATACAGGTAGGTACTAAAGGTACTAGATGAAAATATTTCAACTTGCCAGACATTGCACCATTCCACATGCACCTATAGTAATAATGTTTTTTTATTATTTTAGCGTCACCAGCTGTACGACTATTATGGAACGGCAATTCCATAATAAAAAGTAAAATTTGATACCTTATTAATTAATTAATCCAAAATGTTATGGTCTACTTACTCCAGGTTCAAGTGACATCACCAGTAAAGCAAATTCCAAAAGAAACAGCCACAACAGGCCTGAAAAGAAACAAAAAGTAAATTAATTAGTTCATTTTGAATCGTTTTTAATTATACCTACCATGAATTCCGAATAAAAAATCAAACAAAATAATTAAATGCCAATGGAGTCAAGTTCGCATATACCTAAATGTCACCATCCCGTCGAAACTAGGGCAGCGGGTAACGATCGGTAAGTAAATTTATAGGATTTGTATTTCTAAAAGTCGAATTCAGCTGGCATTTTAAATAATTAGTTAAACCATGCTGTGTATTTGTCCAGGTCATCAATTTGTTACCAAAGCATCGAAGACTAATGAGTAATGACGATCGAAAGTGAAAATTAAATTAATATAACATAACCTTTAAATTATCCTCGTGATCTTTTGAACGGTGTCTTCAAAATTTCTCTTTCTGCTTTCTCGGTAAACCAAAAAAAGAGACCTTCTTCCATGTTGGTGTCATTAAACATCTTCATGTAATTACAAACTTATAAAAGATTTTGGTTAACTTATTGCACAATAACAGCAGTAATACCATTACTTAATGATTGACCCTTTGGAATTCAAGAAGAATTAATTACAGCACGAAAGGTCAAACGTGAAGACCTAAAATTTTTTTGTCGGTTTGAGGAACATGAAACAACATAAATTACATAGGCACTTCCTATACAACTTCCATGTTTTATTTCGAACGGAATGACTATTATTGTTATGCCGACTACTTCGGATGACATTATGTAACAGCTTCGATTATGAGACGGTCATCAATCATCAGAAGTATATGGGAATGTCAACGCCTTCGTCGAGAGAAAAAGAATCGTGTAAATTAGGAGGACCGTTTTCTATATGATTTCTTTATTATTACTTTAATGATTATTTATTACATAACGTAATTAAATTTGATGCTAGAAAAGTCACGTACGAGAATATCTACCGTGACGGTTCTATTGTTCGAAATTGTTCTTATTTGGGGCATAATTTATAATATTTCCGAATATTTAAGGGAAAGTTTACGTAATCAGAACGTGCGGATGAGTTCTGGTTTTGTTTACATCAAAGCATTAATTACACACGTATTACCTTTTACGCATTTCCTCACTCGATTAAGCACACGTAAAGAAATATCTTACCGTTTTAGTAACTAACTCGTACTTTAGTAATTGGAGTGATGTATAACTATAAATAAATTATTATGTGACTGTGTAAATGAGAACAACGTTACCAGAAAATTGGACACGTAGGATTGAGGGTAGGTTATTGACAGGCAGGAACTGCAGTTTAAATTAATATGACGTCAATGGTTCAATTAAGCCACTGTAAAGTTCAATGGTAATTTTATGTCCTTGAAAATATGTTCATATTAGACTTGCTCAAAGATCTGTTTTTGTATTTTTTTTGGCAACAGACTCTTTTGGATTAAGAACGCTCAGCACGAATCTGCTTGTCGTCAAGCGGGAGTCCATGGGGCGTCACTGCCATGGTTTTAATATCCAAATGCCCAAATCGAGATAGTGAGGAAATAGGAGACATTTCTAATGGGATGAAGTAGGTTTTGTCTCTATGGTGTTGAGGGTGAACATGTACACTGAAAGTGTTCGTAGCAACCGGAAGTCGGTCAGATCGATATGATGAAGTTTCCAAAGTCAATTTATTGCAGCAGATTTGTGCAACATTCGGAACTCTTTCCGTGTATAACATTTTATTTAATTTTCCCAACTCCGTCGGTATTAAGTACCAACTTACCATAGAAACAAAAACCGAAGACACAAATCGTCTTCCCGTCTTGCCAGAGAGTCGCTCATTAGAAATAGTAAGGTCTTCACACAAACTTCTACAGCTATTGCCAGTTACCTTGGCTTTGCAGCGACTTACAGTATGTAATGCTCCAAGTCAACAAACCTACAATATTTCACAATGGTTATTAGCTCCGAAAGCGGCTCCTTTGTCTCTACGAAATATAACACTAAATTAATTAATGTTATACGAAAGTCGAAAAAAGAAACCGACCAGAAAACATAATAATTTAAGAATGACATTAAGAATCATGAAAGGTTAGGTGTGAATGGCGAATTGAGACGTGGTAGTATTAATTTGCATTTTGTCGTAGGTCTAACGCGAAAAATTTGATGTAAATATATATTTTAAATGTACATACATATACATTTGTTTCTCTCTTTTAATTTTTTGTCAGCATATACTTGAATGAATTGCTCGGTTTAACGAGGGTTGTGGGTTTACCTGTAGCAATTTTGCAAAAGTATCTAAAATGACTATACCACACGATGTCGTACTCCTAAACGGAGGCGCGAAAATATTCTGTTCTCGATAGAATTTAGTATAGGTGGTTTTTCAATGTGATTATAAAAAATTATCAAAGGCCTCGTGTGAGATCTAAAGGACTTCAGTGCATTTATGTGTGACAGATGAGTATTCTACCAGCCAGTTTTGACTCCACCATAAGATCTTGTCGGGTGCTAGAGACTAAAAGCATATATTTTTTACATGGAATTACGTTTCCGATTATCATTTTGCCTGTATGATGTTGTTGCAGTGCGTTTGTATTATGATCACAAAGGCCAATCCGTTCTTTTGTACTTGAATAAAATGTAAAACAGCTGTGAACAGTTCAAACATGCAGTAACGAATGCCAACATTTTTGGATTAGATAGTACATTCGTACCAAGATTGGTTTCTGCACAATCATCTTTTAGTTTTGGAATGATCTCTACCACATTCCATTTGTCGGTACCCTCCTCCGACGTACCGTTCACCTGGAATGCGCGTTTATTTGACCATTAGTACCATCTTGTTGGGGGCTACCACATTCCCTTTGTCGGTACCCACTTCCGACGTCCCGTTCACCCGCAATTCGCATTTTGGTGGATTTCGCTAAAAAACCCCCGACAAAATAGTTCTGAATTTTTGAGGCACTTCTCATAGCTCGAGCTTCCATTGGCGATCGAGAAAAAGAGACCACGGATTCGGGTTTTAAGAAACTTTAAACAAAATTCGTAGCAGAAGATCGGAACAATCGGACCAAAACTGTAGAAGATAGGAAAAAACTGAAAAATCACATGCTCGGGGATGGTTTCCAGATGTTGCCGACCACACGTCATGTAGCCCCCTCTTCTTCGTCTTTCTACAAGCGTTCTCCCCCCGGCCCGCATTTTCTGCCAGCCAGTCAGCCGGCCGAAGTGAGATTAAAAGCTACCTTTTTACAAATAAATTTGCAAAAATGCACTAAAAATTCAATATTACTTCGGACGGGATAGTCGGCAGAGGCATACACAAAAACCCGACCTAACCTGTTAATTTTATCTTTCGATGTGTCCTGCTACAGTTACTCAATTTGGAAATTCATATATATTACACCATGTAGATAGATTAAATCAGAAAGGTTTCAAATGAAAACAGCCAGAATATCAAACCACACCCATAATGTTTCAGCGAAATTTCTTTATAGATCAACCTCTAACAACCCATTCTGTCTATCCAGGTTTCGTGACTGCTAAATTTGTCTTTTAGTACACTAAGCACCATTTCTCATCTGCTTAGTAAATTAAATTGAACGGGCCCATAACACACACTCGCACAAAGCCAAATTCGTCCTTGAAAGATATACTGTAACGGGAGCCCTTTAACGAGGTTGTTTTTTTTTTTAATTTTTGCTGGGTAGCTTAGTTTCAGTGGTAAAGTATTATAAGTGATAATTTTCCTGTGAAAGGGTTCAAATTTATTCTTCGTAAGGTGCATACTATTGTGAGGAAATTTAAGCCTATTATTTACCTATTTTTCATGGTTACTGGAAGTAAGGAAAGAGCTTGGCCGTGATATAGAATTTTTTTGATGAGAATTCACAGTTATCAATAGAAAAATTATAAAGTAAAGAGGAGATTTGTTTTTATTAATATATCTATTCTACTTTTCATTGTCTACGACTGAGGAAATCACAGGTAATTTTCAAGTGAAAATGGAAAAGGATAATTCTCATTCAAACTGCTACTACAAAAAATCACGTAGCCGTTTGCAGAAAAAATTTAAGGAATGTATCGAGGGCATTTAAAATTGAAATCGATTTTGATCCATTTAAATTATTGTGGTGAAGATTGGGAGTCTTATTTAATTTTATAATTTGGATTAAATTTTTTGAATTTTTTTGCATAAATAAGTAAAATGGTATATTTCAGCTGTAAAAAATGTCCAGGTTTAAGTGTCTTCCAAAACAAATTTTGTTCGTGATGATGTAGGGAATTTGTCGGTCAACGAAATATGTCCTTTCTACCTATTCATTTTGTATGGACTTTTTGTTACTTCATTGCAATTGAGGCGTCAAGATAGCGGCGATCGGGTGCAAATTTAGTCTTTCTTCATGGAAATATAGTATTAAATTAGTGAACTTACCATGAGATAAACCTGCACCTTGAAAACTGCTGGTTGTGTTGTTTTCAGAGTAACTAATTTTAAGACCACCTGAGATTGGTAGTAAAAAAGACACTAACCACTGAAAATTTAGACATTCCTTTGAGTAATAATCCGCCATTGCGGGCGCTCAAAATGTTAGGAAGTAATTAAGAGGAAGATTGGTTTTCGAGAACTTAAAGGCATTCTAGTTTTTGCATTAAAAGCGACCATTTGGCCCCAATAATAGAGCATTAGTGTCTTGGTCGTTGAGGTTACCGTGAACAATTTCCGGGGGACAGGTTAAAAAATACACGCATCGTTCTTGAGAAGAAACATTTTCCATGAAATTTAAGAATACGGTGTAGAAACGAAAACGTCCCATTTTCTAAACATAAATAAAATTAAGTGAATGGTTTCCACTGTAAACACTAAATTCTGTACTATACTGCATTCATTATAAGAAGGTAGTAGATGGCGCTGTGTTTGAAGATAGTCACACACAGGAAAAATATAAAACGGCACAAAATTTGAAAAATATAAATATAAATCAAACGATATCACGCTTGGATCTATGAAATTGACAGCTAATTACAGTTCGACAGTTTAGTTCGTAACTGA